ACCCAATACAAAGATAAGAAATTTGCAGATCTCTCTGTAGCTCCTGCTGGGTGGCCTTAGATAGTGGCTGACTTTACATCTCCCTGGAGATCCAAGAGCCAGTATACCCAGTGGTCAGTAGGAGACCAGATTACAACTCTTCACATCCATAAGAGACATACTCAAGGGGCAGACTCAGGAAGCACCAGAGCCTCACTGAAGCAAATCCTGCTCCAGAAGGGTGTCTACTGAACAGCAGCTCTCCCACTGGATTGCAGCTGGCCCCACAGCCAATTGGCCTGGAGGCCAATTCCTCATAGTGACACCGACAGCAATCAAGGCTCAACTACAACAAAACTGTGACACAGCCCATAAAGGGGTGCACCAACAGTGTCCACCTCAGGTGACTGGGGAGGCTGAGCCACTGGGCCTTATAGGACACCTACTAACAAGACTACCCTATCAACTCAAGGAGACTTAGCAGCTACCCAATAAATAGAAATAAACACAGGGAAGCAGCCAAAATGCGGAGACAAAGACATGTCACTGTGGACAAAAGGGGCCACATGCTGACCTGACAAGCTCAGGGAAGGCTTGCATGGCAGTCTTGCAAACTAAGAGACCTAAAGTAACTACAAAGAATGGTCTGAAATTAAACTTTAACTAAACGCAATTATGGTGGACAGATAACCCTAGGCCAGTATCTTTACTGACAAGGTCAACCTTTGCCTTAATTGAGCCTATCTCTCTTTTTGGATCTATGATAACATACTCTTGAAATGTCTGGATAATTTGTAACTTCCATTTATCTGGAGCCCCTGGGGCACAACCGAATGTGGTGGGTGCCAGGACTGGATGCCACAAATTCCTTCATTATCATGTTAATAATTCTTGCACCCACCTAAGTGTGTGTCCATCATTTTACTTTTTATCCAATCCCAGGGGTTTCCTCCACTTTGCTTTGTCTCACCTCCTTAATCTGTCACCAATGAATTTCATGTAACCCACCTATGTCCCTCCTCTGATTGAAATGTATAAATACAAATGTAACCAGCCATTCTCTGGAGCATTATCTCAAGTCGTTGAGGCTCCGCTTCCCAACATATGGTCATATGTCCATAGTTTGGCTCAAATAAACTCACAAAAATTCTTTACAGGTTTTAATGTTGGTGTTTTTTGTTTGTTTTTGCATTAAAATCACAAATGAAGGAAATCAAACTACAGATATAGAGTTCAAAACCACAGTTATAAGGTTACTCAAGAATCTTCTAGAAACCTCCAAGGATCTTAGTGAGACTTTCAAGTTTATTCGTGAGAATGCAAAAAAAAAAAAAAAAAAAAAAAAAAAAAAAGGGAAAGAACCAGTCAGAAGTTAAGCATACACTGACTGAAATAAAGAATAATATACAGGGATTCAACAATAGATTAGAGGATCACGAGAATCAAATAAATGATTTGAAATGTGAGGAAGCAAAAAATATCCAACAAGAAGAGCAAAAAGAAAAAAAAAAATGTAAATAGTATAAGGAGCCTCTGGGATAACTTAGTACCAATATCCAGATTATGGGGGTGCCAGAGAAGAGAGAGAGCAAGATACTGAAAGCCTATTTGAAAAAATAATGACAGAAAACTTCCCCTACCTGGTGAAAGAAATAGACTTACAAGTCCAGGAAGTACACAGAACCCCAAACAAAAGCAATCCAAAGAGGACCACACCAAGATACATAATAATTAAAATGCCAAAGGCAAAAGAAAAAAAAAATCTTAAAAGCAGCATGAGAAAAACAGTTAGTTACCTACAAGGGAACACCCATACAATTTCTCAACAGAAACTATGCAGGCCAGATGGGAGTGGCAAGAAATATTCAAAGTGATGAATAGCAAGAATCTATAACCAATAATACTTTACCTAGCAAAGCTATCATTTAGAATTGAAGGTCAGATAAAGAGCTTCACAGACAAGAAGAAGCTAAAGGAGTTCATTACCACCAAACCAGTATTATATGCAATGCTGAAGGATATTCTTTAAGAAGAGGAAGAAAAAGGAAAAGCTAAAGATAAAAAATATGAACAACAAAGTAACAACAAATCTCTATCTATCAACAAGTGAGTCTAAAGATCAAATGAATATAAAATCTGATGAGCAGAATGAACTGATGAATGGAATAGAATCAGGGGCATGGAAATGGAACAGACTGATGATTCTCACAGGGAAGAGGGAAGAGGGTATCAGGGGTGCGAGAAGAGATTAGATAAAGATCTTATATACATGTATTCATTACCTATGGACACAGACAAAAGGGTGGCTAGGGCTTGGCCTGGGATGGGAACCATGTGGAGAAGAGCTATGGGAAGAAAAAAAGAGGGACATCTGTAATAATCTTAACAATACAAATTAATTTAAAAAAATCCAAATGTGGCAAAATGTCCATAATTAATGAATCTGGGTGAATTGTTTACGGCAATACTTGTATTATTCTTGCAACTCTTCTATAAGTTTGAAATTATTTAGCCCTAGCTGATTTGGCTCAGTGGATAGAGTGTAGGCCTGCACACTGAAAGGTCCAGAGTTTGATTCTGGTCAAGGGCACCTGCCTGGATTGTGGGCTTGATCCCCATTAGGGGGTGTGCAGGAGGCAGACAATCAACGATTCTCTCTCATCATTGATGTTTCTGACTCTCTCTTCCTCTCAGAAATCAATAAAAACAAACAAACAAAAAAACAACCTGTGGTGTTTTTTTTTTAAAGAAATTATTTCAAAATTATATCTTGTTCTTATGAGAGACAGTACAGTGAGTTAACAGTATCCCATCTGAATGATTTTCTTTCACATTTGTAAGGAACAGTCAGCCAATCCCTTGTCTGTGAATTGAGGAGAAGTCTGTGAATGTTTATATATTACTCTACTTGTAAAGCATTTTGAAGGTAGATTGCAGTAAATGTCAAAGATAATTAAAAGAAATAGGAGCTAAAAATAAACTAGATTCATAATAAAGAATTTCCTTAAAAAATGGAGATCAGAGTGGCAGTTCTTTTTTCTTTACCAATTCAAAAGTTTATTTAACAAAAGTACAATGTGAAAATGGACACAGTTCTATTTGCATATTAGGCTTTTATTATAAAGGATAGCTGAGATATGGAGACAGCCCAAGTGCCCAATAGTAGATGAGCAGATGAAAACTGTGATACATTCACACCATGGAACACTATACAGCTGCAAAAAAGAAGGATCTTTTATCCTTTCGGACAGTATGGAGGGACCTGGAGAGTATTATGCTGAGTGAATTAAGCCAGACAGAAAAAGACAAGTATCATATGATATCACTTATATGTGATATCACTAATGAACATATGATATCACTAATGAACAAAATGGAACCAGAGACATTGAAGCATGCAACAGATGGATGTATTTCAGAAGAAAGTAGGAGAGGGGGGTGGGAAGAGATTAACCAGAGAATTTATATGAATACTAGAGGCCCAGTGCACAAGATTTGTGCACTCGGTGGGTCCCTCAGCCTGGCTGCACCCTCTCGCAGTCCAGGAACCATCAGGGGATATCTGACTGATGGCTTAGGCCGACTCCCTAAGCTGGCAGTTGGACATTCTTAGTGTTGCTGGGGAGGTGGGAGAGGCTCCAGCCACTGCCACTGCACTCACCAGCTGTGAGCCTGGTCAGGGCTTCTGGCTGAGCAGTGCTCCTCCTGTGGGAGCACACTGACCATCAAGAACAGCTCCCGTGTTGAATATCTGACCCCTGGTGTTAAGTGCACGTCAGAGCAACTGGTCATTCTGCTGTTCTGTCTATTTGCATATTAGCCTTTTATTATATAGGGTGTCTATAACCCATGGAAACAGACAATAGTGTGATGAAAGCCTGGGGGATGGGACAGGAACAGGGTGGAGGGGTCAATGAGGGATAAAAGGGGACACCTGTAGTATTTCCAACAATAAAGATAATTTCTTTTTAAATGGAGATCAAACTGAGCAAAATAGGGGCTTGTCAAATGTCCACGGAATGTCGTAGTCCAGCTGACCATATTCCCTTAGCAGCCCTACTTATGTATATCAGACCTTTCCCCCCTAAGTCTATTCTGATCCCTCCTAATGTGCTCTATTCCCAGCCATATTGTTACCTCTTTACTACAAGTTATGATACCATCCATATTCAAATACTGTCTTGAAAAAAGACACCAGTTTTCCAAGTTGTAAGATGGGCAGCAGCAGCTCCCTGTGTCTAGGTAGTACTCACACACAGCTCATATTGCTGACTTACCTGCAGAGTAAGTGTTTATTTTACAGGTATTTTCAATAGGTAGCAAGTGACCACTGATGGCAGTGAGAAAATTATCCTTCTTGTAATACATTTAAGTAAACAGAAAAAGAGGCAATTTAAAGAAAAATATTGTCAAAATAAAGCAGGGCTATGGCACCTGCAAAAGTAAAGGCTGCTATAAGTTCTGAGGTTTGCAAATGTTCACTGACGCACATAACATTTTAAAGTTCGGTTCACAAAGCCAGGAAAGTAAATTTTACAATTATGAATTACTTGAAAATTCCTGTAGCAAATGCTTACTGCTGGAATCAGTAATTTTTTTTTACATCAATAAAGATAATATTTCAGAAAGCACTCTCATGCTTTTTTGAAATTATAGTAAAAATTTACAGTATGATAATCTTCTAAACATATATATATATATATATATATATGTATAATAAGTTATAAAAGTATCTTTGTGTCTGAATATAAATATTTTAGTTCATAGAGATGTCTGGAAAGACTTGAAAAGAAAAAAAGGAAAAAATAGTATGATCTCTTAAACACAAATATTTATTTGTAGTTTTCTATGAAAACTAATAGATCAACTATAACATCAATATCATCCCACTCTGATAAAATTCTAGGGAAATTGCTAGAATATATTTAGGCTATTTTTTAACACTATTTTGGTACATGAGAAATACAAACAGATTTTAAGGAAAATGCCCCCATGTTTGATGCGGAAGCACCAGGCCTTACCAACGGTTGCTGGGGCTGCACAGTTTGCAGACCGAGGGGCTGGCTCTGGGGCTGTGAGGACGGCTGGGGCTGTGGGGGCTGCTGGGACTGCTGCATCTAGAAAGAAAAAGGATTTTATACTTAAACAGAAGGGTGAATGTTTCAGTCTCCTCTTCCCATATGACTTTTATTTAATTATGTTGTTGCAGCAAAATAATACACACCAACCTCTTCCATAGCTGCCTTGCCAAACTGCTCATCTTTCAAGGGAAAAACCTGAATCTCCTCCTCCATGAAGCCCTCTTGGACCTCACCCTTCAGTAGTCGCAGTGTTCTCTGTCTATCCTGTCCAGCACTGTCCCAGTATGTGCTCTGAACTCACTGTCAACTCCTTTCATGTTCTCTGCCTTCCACATATCTTATCCTTCTTAAACCACTAGGTTAGACAAGGAGTACTCAGTAATCTTTTCATTTCCTGTGACATCTGGATGGAGCGGAAGATTCATTTGTGTGGGTTTTTGTTGTTGTTGTTGTTTTGTTTTGTTTTTAAGGAAGATGAAAATAAAGATAGATAAGGAGGAGGAAGCAAAGGAGTTGTTCTTAAAGAATTCCAGAAAATTAGGTCTTGCGTGTGTGTGTGTGTGTGTGTGTGTGTGTGTGTGTGTGTGTGTGTTTTAAAGAAATTGTAGATGTGGGAAGCTCTGGTATAAATTAGGAGAATAAAATGATAAATTGTGTCTGTGACAGTTGGCAGAAATACAGAACTCTCGGAAACACTTCCAAGTCACAGAAGAAGCACAGAGAATGCAGAGGAAAATCTTAGCAGATGGTCTGTCTCAAGGACCTTCAGTTTCCTCCATCCAAACATTCATTTTGATGAGGAAAGCACCAGACTTCTTTTCATTCTTTGCATTTTCCAACTCGGTGTGTGTACTATCCTCCGACTTATTTTTCTTCTTTTGGGCAACGTAATGAATAGCTACTGCCTGTGGCATTTCTCACTAAGTGACAACGGGCATGGATGTGGAATTCAAGCAGAGATCTGGACGGTTTCCCCAAGTGAACAATGCTTACAATAGGGAAGCAGTTTCCCACTGACTTTCTGTGAACTCTGCCAAGAGAAATGAACCCAACTTCAGTTATCAGAAAAGAAATAATGTTTCTCCTGCGAAAAAACAAACCACTTCTCTTTTTTTCTAGGAAATGTGCTGTTAATGAAAAAATTACAATGCTATGCTAATTGGAGTAAAAAGGGAATATTAACTTTTCCAATTTTTCAGCCTTATAAAACATCAATGTAAGACAGAAGGTAATACGTAAAGAAATAAATGTAATAACTTTCCTCAGTGATTTGAAACTGAAATTTTGAACCAGAGGGAAATATAAGTTCCTGTCCTTCCTGTGGGCAGGACTGTTCCTCACTGACCGTACACCAGGAGAACTAGAGCCCTGTTTTTTGGTGCTTTTCTTTTCTTAGTAAAACATGAAATGACTAAGCATCTCAAGTTGGACTGCTGGTAAGATGAGAGGGCACTGTACAGACTCACCAGGCAATCGCCAACCCAACAACAGGACAGACTCGCACATAAGGAAGACCAATGGAAAACATAATGCCTATATTTCTTAAACAAGGAAGTTAGAAGCAAAAATGTGTCAAGGGGAGAAACCTTTATCGAGGAGACCTAAAATTAATTTCAAATAATTAAAAGATAGCTCTCTGGATTCTAACAGTCAAGATGAAATATCTCTTTAAAATATTCTCATAATCCAATTAGACCAGAGGTACTATTGAAACTTTTTTGGATTACAGATCCCTTTAGAAATATGATAAAAGCTCTTGACAGCTTTAAAAACAAACAAACACACATATAAGGAATTTTGAACTCATTTTCCATGGCCTCTAATTAAATGACTGAGTACGCTGAGGCTCACACTACCAAAATAAAGACATCGGCTACCTTGAAGCTTAGTGAAAGGGGAAGGATGCTCTGCAAAACATACGCTCCTGCTATGGCCTGGCAGATTCACAAAGGAAGACTGGCCAAGTTGAAACGAAATTACACCACTTTATTGCTGCTGTCAAATACACAGTGTTCCTTGGAATGTGGCAATTAAAGCCTGCAGTGCCTGTTGTTCCTTGTGACTGCTAAGGACCCGCCAGGTACTGACCTCACCTCCCAGCCCGTACCTGGAGGAGCCTCTGCTGCTGTCGCACCTGAGACTGTCTGGGCCTCATCGGGTCCTGAGGCAGCGGCACTGACGGCAGGTTCGGATGTGTGGGAGTCAGTACTGCATCGACTCCTCCACCCATCAGAGGGCTCTGCTGAAGGGACTGATGATTCAGTCTGGGAAAGAATACACAGCTGGTTTCAGGCCCAAGCACACTGCCACATTTTTAATGGGCAGCGCTAGTAAGCACATCACACACATTCACAGAAAAGCACTTGTGTTCAATCATTACTTGTACAATTCAAATGCAATAAAGGTCAGGGATTAAAATAATCTGGATCACTTGAAAAAGAACAAGCATGATTAAAAATTGCTAATAGTTTTCAGTAACAAGTGACATTAACTGAGCATTTATTCTGGAGTAGGCACTGTGGTCAAGTCTGAACAGTGTTATTTCATTGACTCTCCACAGCGGCCCTCTGAGGTCAGTAGTTTTGTTACCTCCACTTTAAAAGCGAATACCTGAACAGAGAGCTAGTGAAGTAACATACCAAGTAATTTGGATAGAAAGCGGCACAGGTGGGATTTAAACCCAGAACTTTGGGGCTTTAAAATTCAAATTCTTGGGCAATATGCAATGATGCCACTTATTAAAATTATTTTCCAATTTTTTTTAATCTTCCCAAATGTGCTACCATCAATTTTGCCCATTTTCCAAACAGTGATTTCTTAGGGTGAATGTGCAACATTGATAATACATAAAACTAGGCTGTTATCTACTGTCACACAAAATTGTGTATGAAACTTAATTCTTCTAGATTAATGCCATACCTTGAACTTTGTATGATGATTGAAATATTCTACATCTGCCCTGGCCACCAAACTAACTACATAATTTTTGAGTCTCAGTGCAAAATAAACTGCAAGGTTTCCTGACCAAAAATTAGAATTTCAAGGTAACAGTAGAGCATGGAATCAAGTGTGGGACCTTGAAACACAGTCACCAGTATGACTCCCCTGGTCACACATCTCCAATGCTGGCCCTGCTGGCTACATGTGACTACTGGCCACTTCAAGTGTACTAGTGCAACTGAGGGACTAAGTTTTAAATTGAACTTTAATTTGTTTAAATCGAAATTGCCAGCCAAAACCGGTTTGGCTCAGTGGATAGAGCATCGGCCTGTGGACTGAAAGGTCCCAGGTTTGATTCCGGTCAAGGGCATGTTACTTTGGTTGCGCGCACATCAAAAGTGGCAGGTGAGCAGGAGACAGCTGATCAATGTTTCTCTCTCATCAATATTTCTAACTCTCTATCCCTCTTTCTTCCTCTCTGTAAAAAATAAAAAATATGTATTTAAAAAAATTGCCATATGTGGCTGCTGGCTACTGTAATGGACAATGAAGTTACACTTTATATAAGGAATCTGATTAAGCAAGAACTGAAAAGATGTCTTTCATGACCCTGCTTTGCCAACCATCCCTGATGTGGAAAAGGTAAAAATTAAAATTTGCCGAAACCCGTTTGGCTCAGTGGATAGAGTGTCGGCCTGCGGACTGAAAGGTCCCAGGTTCAATTCTGGTCAAAGGCATGTACCTTGGTTGCGGGCACATCCCCAGTAGGGGGCGTGCAGGAGGCAGCTGATCGATGATTCTCTCTCATCGATGTTTCTAATTATCTATCCCTCTCTCTTCCTCTCTGTGAAAAATCAATAAAATATATATTAAAAAAATTAAAATTTAAGAAAAGTCTTGTAGGCACCAGGTAAAATGAATAATGCAATCATAGACTTTATGGCTCTGATCAACACATTTTAGTAAGATGTAGCTAACATTAATCAATATTTTTTTAACTTCGATATTTTTAGCCAAAAAAACCCATATAGTGGTATTATTTAAATAAATTACACCCATTCTATGGAAGATGTGAATCAAAATATAGGGGCCTTGAAAAAAATAAACAAGATGGGTCATCACTTCTTTTGAATCTCTAGGTGCTATTAAAAATAAGATGACCTAATTTAAATTACATATAAATATGCAAGTTCACAAAAACAATATGAGTGCCATGCCCTAGAAGAAACATGACAAAGGGCCGTGTCCACTATTGCAATCATTGTTTCTAAATGTGTCACCTCTGGGAGCCAGTCAGAGGCTGCAGGTACTGCGAGGCCTGTTGCTGAATGTAGCCACTGGGCGGCTGCTGCATCTGTCTGAGCCTTTCCATCAGCGCTGGGCTGGAATGCGCAACTGGGTAGGCTCTGGAGTTGTAGCCGGGGGACAGGACCATGCTGCCAGCCTGCTGCTGCGGGGTCTGCTGCAAAGGCATCTGCGTTCCGTACATCGTGTAGCCTTGGGGCATGGCCTGCAGGAGGCACAAGGAACAAAGTCAGCATTTTTACTTACCACCAGCTTTCCTGTTGGCTAAGCTTTAGGGGGATAAACCCAGGAGAAGCCCCCTGAAACTCACTATTCTCAAATGTTGTTATGACTCAAAATATGAAGGCAGAGAGGCTAATCAGAAAGCTACAGAATAAACTGGTTACATAGTGATTTACCAGAAAATACAATAAAAAAAAGAATCCACACGTAGTTAAGAGATTAGGTTTAAGGTTAGTTGCTTATTCTGAAGGAAGAAAGCGCATACTTCCTTATGGACAAGCATCCATTCCTCTTATGCACAGATGACATCAGTGCTCAACAGATCCAAGCATCAATAATGCCACTTCTAAACTTAGAAGAGCTGCCCCTCTGCTCATGTATATTAAAATAATGGCAAACACTTTCATACTATGTCACTTCGCTAAATTTGATGAATGTGCCCGTAGTAACTAACCAGTTATAAAAAGACAACATTAATATCTTACCAGAGTAAGGATGTAATGGATGACTATTCACTACCCTCCAGTCCTGGTTGAACTGAAGCCCAGTCTGCACTGTGCCAGTCATCTGAATACTTCATTTTTCTATGCATTATTAGGATACACATGACTGTTTCTCTAAATTTGACATCTAATGTAAATGAAAAAACCTGAGGCTCACTAGATCACTATACTTTATAGAATAGAATGCTGATTATAGTAGAAGAGGGCTGCTGTTCAAATCCATTAAGCACCATATTTTAAGGTAGTGCCATGGCTTTGGCTTGGAAGACAGAATAATGTGTAATGAACTTGCAGCAGGCAGCATGAATGGAACCAGCCTGTAAGGTTCTGTGCCTGAGAAGGCCAATCTCACTCTCCTTTGAGCTGTGGACAAAGTATGAGCTGCTAGCCCCAACGAGCGGTTTTATCCACATCCCAGAGCCTAATTATGGCAGTGATGGGGTAAATGTATATGGATGCAGAAAAAAACAAAATATTAGAAAAACAGCTCCAGAATCACATTGCATGAAGGCAAGCCTACCATTGTTGAGTGGCTGCTGTGAGTCTGTTGCAGGGCGGCATAGTTCCCCAGGCTGCCTTAAATACTCACAATGAGCCCTCTCTTTTACAGAGAAGGGGGCCAAGACTCAGAGGAACTTGGACATTGTTCTACAGCCGGCAAGTTGTCAAGAAAGCTGCCAAAGTCTCATTCCAAGGCCAATTCCCTTCTTATCGTACTCTTTGAAACAATCTTTAAATGTGACAAATTCAAGCATGAATGACATGATTTTGTACTATAACATAAGTATTTTGGGACTGTTAAGCATTTAAATACCTACAAAAATCATTAATAGAGGTTTGGATTTATGTTTTCAATTAAAGAATTTCCTAAAATATGTGTTCTTTAAATTAATCCAGACACTTGTTCAACAATCACTGGCAATGTGGAGTAACTACGTTCTAGACCCATAAAGCAGTGGACACCCTATTTACTAGGTTTCCCACTTCAAATAAAGAGATTAAAAATCCCCACTTTTTCAATTAAAAATATCCATAGCATCTATGAAGCCACTGTGGGTACCTGTACTTGCTGCAGCCCTGGATACTGGGGGAGCTGAGGGGAGGGCCGTGCTTGTGCAAAGAGAGCAGCCTGGTCCCCGGGCTGGCCCTGCAAAACAAAGCCAACACGAACTCTTGATCATAACAGCAAGGGCTTGATCTGAGCTCCTGCTTTATAACCCCAACAACCCGTGACACCAAATGTCATTATGTGAAAACAGAACTTGCAGATTTCCAAACTGAATAAAATCTGATTTCTCACCATTTCCTATGTGTGTAGAGATTGTTGAACTTACTATGTTTTCCAAAGGAGACTACGTTTGCCCCCAAAAGTAGAGCACAGACATAAATACGAGCCACAACAATAAATGGTCAGCTCATCAGAGAGGCTCATGGCAGTACTCCGTGCACCTAGGACTTGGCCCTGCTGCGGGAATAGTCAGGAGGTCCTAACTGTTAAGATCAAAACCCTGTGCCATAAAGGAAAGAGCCCATGTGGTGAAAGCAAGTGCCATATATAAATTTCATAACTTGTTGATACCTTCTTTCCAGTGGTCTAAAATATGCCTATTTACCCAAGAAGTCAATGAATGAATTTGGTATTTCCCCGGACTCCAATAATCAATTAAAATACAACCAATAAAAATGTATAAGTTATCAGCAAATACAATTCTAACCAACTACAATATAAAACAAAACCAATGAACATCTTTTAAATGTTCTCATTTAATATAATTTGGCTTTAGGAAAATAAATATATTTAGGAAAGCAGCATTATTTTATGTTTGGTATCAGATGCTACTTCATGGAAGCTGCTGTAATAACCACAGGAAGAGGTCTAGCTTCCTATCATCCCTATGTGCTTTCAGGACTTACTAATTATAAAGAATGGGTTTATCCTAAGATATTTTACTAACTTTTATATACTAGATGTCCTCACTTTTTAAAAGTGTTAAATTACATTTATATAAAAGATGTGCATGTTCTTAGAAAGTAGTATAGATTTTGCTAACAGGGAAAAAGCGATTACCACTTAGCTTAAGATTGACTAGACATCTACAATATACCAGGGACAGGCTTCTGGCTCTTATTCTCACTTTCTGGCAGGAACTCTGCAGGGAGGGAGGCTCATGCCCTGTCCTCAGTGAGGAAAAGCTGGGGGCAAGGGGCTTACACTGCTCAGCGATTCACCACCCAGACCTGGCCCAGCCATTGTCTGAGCTCAGGTGAGTCTGATCCACGGTCCAGGGCTCTTCCATTGGATGAGGTGCTTCTCTATGCGATACTAAGGTTGAAAATATTTAAAACCTCACTTGGTGCTTATTATTTAGGGACATATAGCCTCTTAAACTCACCCAAAAACAACCAAAAGGAGAATCTCTATTGCGACTTATTAAAAAATATTGAAATTAAATGTATATACCAGACAGTAGTAAAGCTCTTTTTCTAACCCCGACGCAAAATTACTTGGGGCCCTTAAATGTTTCAGCCTTTTCTAAGGTGACCACCAATCCATTTGCGGACCAGACGTGTTTCTGAGAGTCTCTACTGTAGTATCTGCATATATTCAACAAGAATCTCACTTTCCAAAAGAGGGTACCATAAAGGTGCCCTCAGCCATTAGCTGATTAATCTAAGTGCGATTACATCTCACTTTGCTTGTTCCAAGTCCCTCTATGAGAACCATGCATAGCAGTGTGGCCATTGGGAGCCCACAACTATTTCCCCCCAAGTATCCCAATGGCATTTGATTTTCAAAACACTATGCCCATTAACTCAACCAGATCTTTAAATGCCACTCATCAAATCAGTGCTCCCTGACAGTGTCATGTGGTCCCTGAAACATATTGTTGTGCTTCTTTTTGGATATATATATATATATATATATATATATATATATATGAATCATTTATACAGAAATGAAGAAAAATGAATTACTTATATGTGATTTATAACCTGGAGATCCATGTGTAATCTACAATACACAGGCTGTGATTTGTATGAAGGAAAGCACACCTGTCTGTGACATCTGCATGCTGATTTCTAACTCTTTACTCTTCCTTTGCTTTCTGAAAAACTTACAGAACAACCATTGATTTCCATGTGAGGGAAACTGGACTACTGATAAGTTAAGTATCTGAATTACTGGCTACACTCTTACTGACAAATGACAGTTGATATTGTGGAAATTAAAAATATGAATTAAAAACTATTCTACATTAAAAATCACTAAATTAACATTTAAGGAAAAAGCACTAAAACTTCAAAAGGAGAAAAAACCCAAAAATTTCAAATCAATTTTTATATTCTAAAATTCATGCATTTTCAGTCAACCAGTTTTGTCTAAAAGTCAGTTATTTATTAGTGAACATATTCTGTTCCCTCCCATCACCTACCTCGGCAGTGCAGGAAGCAATTCTGATATACATATACTCCCTGAGGAAATTATAGACACTTCAAACTGGCTAGCACTCTCTGCAAATAGCTTTATTATCTTGTTTTTGTCTTGGATTATTTGAAAAACATCCCATTCTCTTCCATCGAACTGAAATGGCCTTCAACTGTTCTTTGTTTTTCATTGTCCTCCCCTACCCCCACCCCAGAATAATGCCAGGAATGCATCCTTTCAATTTATAGAAATATTTCCATTTGTTGGGGAAAGAAAGAATACGACAACTTCTCTAGTCACTTGAAAGATTTTACAAATGCTCAAGGAGGAACGTATTATGAGAGCGAGCAAGGCAAGTACAGAATAAGATTTAGTACAAGGTTTTGAATTTTGCTGAGGATGTGAGGATGATTTTATTGCATTTATTCAAAAAGGTATTAATCATCCAGACTAGAACTGGCCAGACACCAGGTACAAAGGGGTACCATGCCTGGCAAAATGAGACACATGGTCAACTTAGGTATACATAATTCGTGTATCATGTATCTGTTCTTTACAGAAAACTTTCTAAGCTTTATTTTTAATCAAACATAAGTTAGTTTACCAAGTGCTTTTCAACTGCCCCATATTTTTCAGTACCATCTTTTTTTTTTTTGAAAACTCATTTTAAATTTACTCTTTAGCATCTATTATTTTAATCATTTCTCCCTTCTAACTGCATTAGTATGTGGAGATTAGCTCTATTTCCCTCTCTTGATTTATACTGTTTAACTCAAGTGATCAGAGGTAACAATAACGTTATATTTTTATGAGTACAAAGGATAGTTCAGGAAGCTGTTTTTGATGAAACGTGTGTATTCAGCCAGGTGCCATATGACTTTGAGCACATCATCGAAAGAGAAACATACACTTTTGTTCCCTGGCTCCAGCTCCCATGCTCAGGCACCTGGCTTCCTTGTGCTCAGAGAATAAGCCTCAGCTAACTGGAAATTCTTAATATACACCAACCCATCTCTATATTGCTACCTGAGGTAAACTCCTACACATATTCTCTCCAGTTTGCTTTCATGTACTTTGCTTTGGGCTTGCCTCTATGTGAGAAATAGAAAATCATTATATATATTTTTTTAAATTTCCACTTTCTAAAATCTTCTAAAAAAGCCATACTGCCCAGCCAGCATGGCTTAGTGGTTGAACATCGACTCATAAACCAGGAGGTCATGGTTTGATTCCAAGTCAGGGCACATGCTCGGGTAAGGGGCTCAATCCCCAGTGAAGGGTGTGTAGAGGCAGCTAATCAATGATTCTCTCTCATCATGGATATTTCTATCTCTTTCTCTCTGAAATCAATTTAAAAAAAATAAAAAGGCTGTACTGTTCAATATTGATTCATTTTCCTGGCCATTAGAAGAACAATTTTCTCTACTGCTTTATTTTTCAGTAAATAAGAGAAGTGTCTGAGCTCAAAAAGATATTGACTCAAATGTCTTTTGTATAATTTGAAGTTAATGCATCTAGTAAATTAAAAATCAGTGTTCATACATAATTTTCATTCTCTTCATTAGCAATCATTCCTTCAGTCAACTGAGCAAATGTGCAGCTCTCTTCCCAAAGGAGAATTGGTCATACAGCCAAGTAGCAGGCAGTCAGCATTATAAGCAACAGCAGCAATACAGGGCCAGGAATGTCCTATCCACTCTACTCACTAGTAATGATTTTTTCCCCCCAGTAATGTCTAAGGGTTGCAAGTAGGGAGTTGTACCTAAAAAAACAGATTTTGTTTCTAAAAATGCTGATTTAGGAACAATAATAACAGTAATCCAATGAAAACCAGTTGTTAATGTTTTACGAGTCATCTACCAAAAAGGTTTTGTTTGTGTTATTAGCTTGGTCGGTACTGAGTAACAGTGCTCAAGACTAAAACACATGGTGTGAACTAGAGGTTATGCTCTTTACCACATACTGGTGTATTTTGATTTCAGATAATAGAGAAAATTCTATAACTACAAGAGATCCTGTTGATAGTTATGATGCTTGATTCTCCTAGAAAGCTTTCATATCAAACATAAACTGGTTAAGAATCAATTAATATTAAGATTAACTGCTGGAACAATTGGATTCAGTCTAAAACAAGGACACTCCATACAACAATAAAGTTTTACAATATATTCTATTATCATGCCCAAAAGTAATGAATATAATGACTGGCAGAGTATATACATTCATTACATTTCTAATATTGGAGAATATTTAAGGAAAATAAGAATATTGAAAAGGAAAACAAAGATATATATACATATATATTAATATATATTGATTTTTAAATTCATTCAAATTAATATTTTTATTAATTTGAATAAATTTAAAAATTATAAAACCTTTTGACTTTAAATACATGACAAAATATTTTGTCTAATTCTTTCTTTAAAGTAAAATCAATGACTGATATAAATTGTTTTCTATCTGAATTATATTACCATCTGAACAATAACTATAAGCAACCTTTAAAAGTTAAATTTGATATTTTTATTTCAAGTTTTGAAATGAAACCTTCATTTGCTCTTTGTATAACACAGTGTCAAAAAAAATTGATAGGAAAACTGATTTTCAGAAAAGTCCAAACTTTCCTTTGCAGAAAAAACTTAAAGAAACTGCCTACATAACAAGCATTCAACAACATGAATATTTTCAGAGAAGACTATGCAGGATATTTTCACCAA